GATTCGAAATGCTCTGCTCAAATGCATCATTTCGGGCTTCACAAGCTATTCACTATAGTACTTAGTTTGCATTTGATTGCTCAATAAAGTAGTTTAACAGTTTTCTCACTTCAAACATTATTTGAACTTTTTCCTCACTAATCAATTCGAAGCCGATGTGTCTCTAATCATTGCGCGAATCTTTTTCTTTTTAAATGCTCTAATTTACGCTTTCATATTTTTTGCCTGCATAATTCTATAGTATTTGGAGGAAATAAAAATAAGTGTTTTCAACTATTTCTATCATAAACGAAAAGTACTGGTATGCTAAGGACAGAAACTAATTCAGAAGCGAAGTAATCGGAATGTTTTTGTTTGTCTTGGCAAAATGGACGATCATGGCTTTATTTCATTTACTTAGGGATTAAGTATTGCTTGTAGTTAGAGAGCTTGATTTTAAAAGTAGGAGGGCGTTTACAACAATCTGGAAGTGTTGAAGGACAAAATACAATCTAACCTAACACTTGGGGTTTTCTCATGGAAATCAAACTAGCTGACATTATGTAATAAAAATAGCATCGGCCCTTTTCTCTATCACTGTCCCTTTGATTTGATTCTTTGAATGATAACCATGGGGTCATAGAAAATCACTTTCTCAAAGGACTAAAACATTATAAATGAAACATTTTCGTGCTATCCTTCATTTTCTCTGAGCAGACGACAGCGGTAGAAATCCGATGATTAGTAATTACATAATATTAAATCGAGGTAAAAATTAAAGTTTTTTGTTGGAAGTTTAAACAACTATACACGCAGTTCACTTCATAAAGAATGCATCTGAGAAAAAAGCACAAAGCAGGAACTGGCCATCGCACTACCTTTACTGGATTTACATAGAAATGGCAAGATTGGAAAAAGATGTTATCTCCATACCAGATGTGCTTCATTTCAGTAGTGGAAGCGATGAGACAGCTTCAAGCTTTAAACCTGAGCATGTCTGACCTTCTTAATAAAAAAAGATTTGAACCTCATTTAGATATATTTACAGTGCTAACCCTCTATTAATTTAGTAATGCACCACCTCAGTTTGTATTATGTTTCGGGAACTTCGTCACTTCAGGGAAAAGGAAAGCTTCTCGAAATGACTTCACATCACTTCTATGCTTGGGACGATATTAAGCAGAACAGAAAATGAATTTTAAAGTTTAACTTAATTCTAAATGGCTTAAAAAACGTAGTCTTCGAAA